TGATACACAGTGAGATACGGTGTCCTGTGTCAGTGTGATATACAGTGTCCGCGTGTGTGATGTACAGTGAGACACAGTGCCCTGTGTGTGATATACAATGAGACAGTGTCCTCGTGTATGATATACAATGAGACATAGTGTCCTGTGTTGGTGTGATATACCGTGAGACACAGTGTTCTGTGTGTGATATACAATGAGACAGTGTCCTGTGTTGGTGTGATATACAGTCAGATAGTTTTCTGTGTGAGTGTGATATTCGGTGTGACAGTGTTCCATATCAGGGCAATGTGTCAGGGTGTTCCAAAGAAATCTGATGTAGTGACTCAGTGCCAGTGGGGTTGGTGTGAAGCAATAAGGAGCCACACCTGGAATATCCTTTGTAATTCCTGGTGACATAAACTGGGTGAACAGACAAATCACTCATAGAATGCCCAGATAATGAGAGAGAAGAAAAGTGGTGGACTGCATTTGTATAGCACCATTAATGTTGTGTACCATACCATGGAGCTTTATGGCCATGTAATGAAATCTGCCACTGAGCAAATAGTGGAGACATGACTAAATCTTCATGAATGAGGTGGGTGTTAGAGTACATCCTAACGAAGGGGAACGAGGTCGACAAATAAAGAGGTTTTGGGAGTGAGGGGCAGTTCCTGAGCTTGAGTTTAGAAGCTTGAACACATCATGAGGAAATTGGAAGCAGGAAGGAAGAGGCAAAGATAGGCAGAGCTGGTAGTAGATTTCACACAAGGATGCGATATTTAATATGGACATGGTTTGTGATCAGATGTGCATGAATTTACTGGTCGGTTTGTATGATGGGAGGGGAGAGGATGGGGACCGTGATAGCTTCACGTCTCACATTTCTTTGAAGCAAAGACACATATGACTGGGCTTATTTACCTGCAGATTAATTACTGGATCAGACCTTTCCAGCACAGCCACTTGCCTGTTTTGTCCAAATGAAGCCCAGAGGTAGGACTCAGTTCATCAGCTAATTATGCTTCTGCCCTGTTCTCCTGCAAATGATCTGCAAGTTGCTACATTCGCTTGATGTTTAAGCCCTGGTGTTGCCTCTGGGACTGTTTCTGAAGTTTCTCTCTTCCCCATCATATACGACAGTCAGTGGGAGCGGGTAGGATTCTCATGTTCCCTATTATGTGAGCCGGAATTCTAATAGTCCACATGCCAGTCAGCGAGAGGAGAGCTTGTTATTGAACATTAATCCTCATAATGTGAGCATGCTCGCAGGGCCAAAATGTGCAGGAATATCTTCCCAGTCATTGTTTGATATTCCCAAGCCAGGCCTCATGAAATCTGAATGATGAGTGGACATGGTAGCACTCTGAAGTTACATACAGACCAGACACAGTAAGGAACAGCAACATTCCTTTACAGTGATCCAACTGGGCTTTTGAAACAATCTTGTGGTCATTTTTTTTAACTGCTATCATGTTTTTACCAGCAGCATGTTTAAAATCAGGATTCAAATATTGTTAGGCACGGGAGAGATTTGAATGGAGCTTACATCATCATTAAAATAGGAACCAATAAAAGAGGGGATTTCAAACATTTGGAAGCAAAGGAGATGTTTCAATTCAATGCAAGTTCACAGAAACTAATCTAAATTATAATAATGAATAAACCAGAAATTATTAGAGGGTTGCATTTAAAGAGTTTTAAA